ATGTCACCCTCTCTCAGGGAAGTGGAGTGGAGAAACCAGAAAGGCTCTTCCGATTCCCACCATCCCTTGCCCGTCAGACAGCAGCAAGGCCTCCTGAGGTGGGGGAGAGGACGGGGCCTCAGGACTCAGAGCTAGAAATTGGAATCAAACGTGATGGCGGCGTGGCGTAGGGTAGGCGCTCCCCACCCTTGCTGGTCCCAGAAGTACAAGCTGTTCTGCAGCTGTTTCTGGCACTGGTGTCTTGGTGGGGTGGGAGTCTTCTACTGTGATTCTCCCTGCTTACTGGTTATTTTTACTATCCTCTGCTTTGATGTTTTCACCCACTCTGAATTACCCCCACCAGCTGCCTCCTGTGTTCCTCTTATCATACTGCCAAGTGGTGCTAGAGGAAATTTTGTTCAGGGTGCCGGCTGGATTGACAACAAATGTCCATCTGATCTCAGCTGAGCCCTCACTGCCACAAGGCAAGGCTTCTCCTCTTCCCTCCCTGATATGCTATCGAATTCTTCACATCAGCTGCTCCAAACCTCTTCCTTCCTCAGACTTTTACATCACATCCTTCCCCCTACCCCACTTAGCCAAGGCCCTCACCTTTTACTTATTTTCCAAGAAAGGCCATCCACCATGAGGTTTTTTATCTTCTCTCTCCTAAAACATCCCCTCCCCACTCTCTCCTGGATGCCGTCCTGCAGAAGAGATGGCCCTTCTCTTCACTAAGATGTCCCCTCTACTTGTACCTTTGGTCCCAAACTGTCCTGTTTTCTCTGTCACATTGCTTCACAGTCATCCCCTTCCCTCTCTAATTGTCAATCTCTCTTTGTCTGTTGGCGCCTTTCCCCTGCCTCCTGGGCACACGTGTGCCCAGAACTGTCTCATCTCTTGAAAAAGCTTCACATGGTTCTCAGAAACCAGCAGTGTTTAACCCAGTTTGTAAACTTAAAAAAGTTGTGTAACTATTTAAATATAATTAGTTTATTTTGTAATCTTATGTATTTTATTTTATTCATTTAAAACCATCATGATAAGAGGTCCATAGGCTTCACCAGACTGCCACAGGGGTCCATGCCACACGGACAGAGGTAAGAATTCCTGCCTTACGCCATCAAACACGTAGGAAAAGCCATTCACACTCCCTTGTCTACACTCCCTCTTCTCCCATTTGCTTCTCAGTTTCTATCGATCTGACCTCTGACCTCATCACTTAACTGAAACTCCACTCTCAGAAGTTACCAATGACCTTTTAATTGACAACACAGGGCTCGGTGAAAGTCCTCATCCTTCTTGACCTCTCTGCATTTGACATTTGACTCTGTTGACCATCCTCTCCTCTTCCATAATTTCTCCCCTCTAGGATTTTGTGACAGTTCTTGGTTCTCCCCTTACCTGTCTGAACTCTCCCGCTTAATTTCCTTTGCTCAGTCATCATCATCATCATCTATGTTTTACAAATCCCAGCTGTAGGTGCACCCAAAAGCTATGACCTCTACTCTTTCCTCTTCTTTCTCTATATCCTCTCAGTGAAACTCCTCAGTTCTTATGGATTCAATTATCCCCATTATCAATTACCTAGGAGTAGTGACTCCCAGATCTATATAATCCACTCTGGTCTGCATCTAGGATAAGTACTGGCCTTGGAGTCAGGAAGACCTGAGTTCAGATCTGGCCTCAGATACTAGTTCTTCGATGTTGGGCAAAGTCACTTAAAGTCACTTGATTCAGTTTCATCAACTGTTAAAATGGAGATGACAGTAGCCCCTCTCTCCTAGGGTTGTTGTGAAAAGCAAATGTGATAGTATTTGTACAGTGCTTAACCTATAGTAGGCACTATATAAATACTAGTTATTACTGATCTCTCTTCTGTATTCTGGTCCAACATTGCTAATTGCCTATTGGACATTTCCCACTGGCTCTTCTAAAGGTACCTCAAACTCAACCCATGCACAACAGAGCCCACTGTCTTTCCCCTAGGCCCACTCTTCTTCCTGACTTCCCTGTTTCTGTTAGGGACCCCACCATCCTTCCAGTTCCCCAGGGTCCTAATCTCAGAATCTTCCTCGACTCCTCAGGCTATATACCCAGCCCATTCCCAAATTCTGTCCATTCTCCCTCCATATCATCTCTCACATCTGACTCTTCTTCTCTCACAACCACCCGCCTTGGTTCAAACCCTCATCACTTCTCAAGTGGACTATAGCAATAGCTCTGTAATTGTCATCCCAACCTCAAGTCTCACCCTCTCCACATCCTTCCTTCATACCACTCAGAAGCCACGTTCTTAAAAGCACAGATCTGACCATGTGATGACTCCCCCGCTCAATAAACTCTAGGGGATCCCTCTTGCCTCCTGAATAAAACATAAACCCCTTACTTTGGCACTGAAAGCCCTATACATTCTTGCTTCACCCTCTCTTTCCAGGCTCATTACACGTTATTTCAACCCCTTACACAAGCTTTGAGTCCAGCCAGGCTGACCTACTTACCAATCCTTATACTCAACATTCCATCTCATCTCAGTGCCTTTGCATAGTCTGGAATTCCATGCCTGGAATGCCCTCCCTTCATCACCTCCACCTCTTAGAATCCCTAGCTCAGCCTCATTATTCCTACAGGAGGCCTTTCCTGATCCCAGCCCCCAGTTTCTAGTGCCCTCCCCCAATTACTTTTTGTTTACTTTTGCATATACTTAATGGAAGAAGTGGGGAGAGACTGGCCACTCAATGGTCAGTGTCCTTCTTTTACCTTTGTATTTGCTTACTTGGATATGTGTTATTTTCCCTGATAATATTTAAGCTCTCTAAGGAGAGAGTTTGGAGGGGGGTTGGGTTTGGGAGGTTTTTTTTGCATTTGTATACCTAGCACCGCACAAAATGAGATATATACTAGATACTTGAAGCTCCCACACACTGGGAATTTATCACAAGGTTGGGATTATTTTGATTTGTAGATGAAACAGCAAGAATGAAAATTGATAAATAGTGAAGTGGGTCTTCATCAAAGGGTTTTCAGATAGAACTCTTTTCCCCTCTGGGCATGTGTTGTAAATAACTCATATTCCCAGGGAAGAGTTGGTCACAACTGAGCAGTGAGGGCAGTCTCATTAAAACAGATACCGGTATGACAAACCTCTGACAAAGATGCCAGACCTCAGCCAGGAGACCACATATTTTCAGTAGTATTTGAAGTAACAAAAGTCTATTTCTGCCGAAGCATTGGTTAGTCCTGCAAGGGCCCCTGTAAGGGCATTTGATCTGGAGCTATGGTGGTTCCTGTATCCATCCCCAGCAAGTGTAAGACTTAAATGTAATTCCTTTGACACCCCTGAGGATGTTCAGAAGTCTTTGTCCTAAGTTCTGGTGTGTTTGTTTCAAAATTCAGTCACATGATGCTATGTCCCCCACTTCATAGAGGTCAAATCCTGCTCTATCTACAGACATTTTGGGGCAGCTAGATGGCGCAGCGCATAGAGCACCGGCCCTGGATTCGGGAGGACCTGAGTTCAAATCCGGCCTCAGACACATAACACTTACTAGCTGTGTCACCCTGGGCAAGTCACTTAACCCCACTGCCTAACCAAAAACAAAACAAAATACAGACATTTTAGTTATATGGAAATCCTTTTGTATCCCTCCACAGCTTGTACTGCCCTCTGGGGCTTGTCCTTCACAGTGCTTAATAATTGCTTATCCGTCAACCAATCGATAACATTGGCTTATTTTGAGAGATCCACGGTCCTATCACTTCAGTTATCTCTCTCGTGCGGCAGATCTCAGCGCAGACCTGTCTCTGATGGGCTCCCTAGATGAGGTGGCCTCAATTACCCAACAGGTTTTTGGAATTAATGGGTCATGACTGGGTCTTGAAAATCTTTGTTCCCATAGGTCAGGACTTACCTTACCCAGGGTATGTTTCACTGTTGTGTAGAGTAGCTATATACTCTCACCAGGCAACGAGACTCTTAAATCAAAGATTTGCCTCAGTTGGGAGTGGTCATCATCTGGGATCGGGCCACTGGAGCAAGGTGGTAGGGTTGCGTTGTGATGTTTTCTGTGTTGTTGAAAAGTATGATCTAGCATTGGAGTCCATCAGCCCTGCCCTGTGTCTGTCTGAGTCTCCCGGAGCTTGCAATCTGTTTAACCACTAACTGGGCTTCAGCTGTCTTCTCTGCTCTCTGTTTCACCCTCACCTGACTGTGCCTGTCCAGTGTCCCAAAGACTCCCTGTGCCCAGGCACCCATGCTTTTAATAACTGGAGCTTTGGAACAGCTCCTGAACTGAGCTGGGTCCTGCACTGCTTGTGTCTTAGCATCCAGTCTTGTTTGAATGACGGTGTTTGGGGGAGGGGGAGGGAAGGGGGAGGGGAGAGACAACTCAATGGTAGCAGCATTAATTAGTAGGTTGGCCTTCTATCCTTTCACCTTTCTAAAAAGCCTTGTGTCCAGTGTAACTGACTTTGACTACTTCTCTTGTTTCAGCTATTGGGGACATAAACCTAGCATCAGAGAAAGGTATTTTCTTTGGGGGGAAAAATGACTCTGGCACAGATGAAGCTAAACTGATTTAGCAGTCTTCATATGCCCTTAACTCTACCTCAGGGGTCTCTGGCCTTCCTGGAAATATGGCAGTCCAGTGTATGCTACCCTGCATCCCTCAAGGGTGAAACTAGTGTTCCAGTGACAACTTTTTTTGCCCCAATTGCAGTGTTTCTTCCTGGGGTGTGGATCCAAACAGGGGCCTGAGTTTATGCAGCCACACTTTATTGTTATAACCAAATTTAAAATCCTGTTTTTTTAAATTTTTTTCCTACCTACTCTCCCTACCCTTAACCTTCCCCCTTCTGTTTCCTTTTTCCTAACCCTCCCCTTCCCTTCATCTTGCTTTTCCCCTATTCTTCCTGTGCCCTTCTCTTCCTAACTCTCCTCTTCTTTTTCTTCCTCTCACCCCCTGCCCTCCCTTCCCTTCCTGTGACCCCTTGCTCTCCTTTCCCTCTCTCCACGCTTCCAGGTGCAAATAGTATACAAGCCAGTCGACCTGAGCAAGGTGACTTCCAAGTGTGGCTCATTGGGCAACATCCACCACAAACCAGGTAGTCCCAGAAGAGATATTGTGGGAGTTGGGTACAATCTCTTTTCTAGGTGATCAAATGTTCTCTGTAGCTGTTTACCAATTTGCCCTATTTCCAACAAGGAATTGTCAAAGGTGGAGCATTTTTTATCTGCCCTGGGTGCTTTCTTCCTTGCTTTCCCTTGCTAAGATGCTTTAACCAGGGGGCATTTTCTTTGAAAGAATATGAAGGGGAGGGACATGCTCAGGAATGAAGGTGATCTATAAACCAAGTATATTGATAACACTTTAAAAAAAAAGGCTATAAAAGGTAAAGGCAAATTTTTTTTTGTCTTAAACTCTCTAGTTCTCAAAGCAAGATTCGTGAAGGGATGTTTACTCTGCCTTCCCATAATGGCAGGACAGGGATGGGCTATTGGCCCAGGGTCTAGTAGGGAAATGATGTGGCTTTGCATGATAGTGGGGCGCATCTACCATTATTACATCACTGTTGTCCCTGCTGAGCTTGAATGGAAAATGATATACCATACGCCCCCCTCTCAAGGGTCTTTTTATAGCCTTCATACCAAATACTTAGGGACAAAGAATTTCTGTCTTGGTTCGAGCCCTTAGCACGTTCAACAAATGTTCACTAAGTGCTTACTATGTCAAGGAATTGTAGTCTTATGGCATTCATACCAGGAAAGCAAGTTCAGCAAATAACCCCTGCATCCCAAAGGCCCTAGCAAGGCAGAAGGCCTTGGGAACAGGACAGATAGCAGCACAATTCAAACCTGTTCATTGTTTTTGCCTACTCTTGGACGTTTGCCAGAATTGAGTGTCTACCCATGACAGCTCCTCGACAAATGGCATTCTCCTTGAGTCCTTTCTTTTCCTGCTCTACTAACAATAATGGTGCTGGTCATCTCTTCCCATGTCCAGGCTCCTACAATTGCTACTTTTCTGTTTTAACTGAGCAATTTTTTTCACAGGGTATGAGATTAGGGACCATAGGCTTAGAAAAATGTCAGACCTACACAGGAATCTGACAGGGCCTTCTTATATAATTTAGAATTTCTAATGATTTGACTTGGGCTGGGCTGAAATTTATCTTGGCATCCTTAATTTGCTTAACAGTCCCTTTTTTAAAATTTTTACTTTTTGAGAGTAGATCTCCCTATCTCACCCAGGGAGGAAATACAGTGACCGCTGTCAGGCCCTACTCCGCTGCTGATGGGCGTGGATGCTTTGACCAGCTCTGTTTCTGACCTGGGCCAGTTAGGCAGCTGGTTGCCCCCTCCCCCATCCCAGGGGCTCACCATATTGGTGCCAGACTTAGTTCAGACACTCCATCAGCTTTAGCCCCCTGAGACTTCAGAAATCCCAAGCTCAAGCAATCCACCAGCCTCATTATCCCCCAGGAACAAGGGACTACAGGCATTTGCCACAATGCCTGGCAATTCCAGTTCTTGTTGGATAATGTAAACAGGACTGGGGAGTTGGGAAATGTGTCTCTTCTTCTTAAGAAAACCAACTACTTCCAAGTACTTTGGCAGGCATATGAACTGTTAAAGTGCTAATTAAAGATGAGTCTTAGCTGTATATTAAAGTGGGTCTAATAGTCCCCTTTGTTAGAAACAGTTTGTAAGCTGTTCCTTCAAGTTAATAGGTAATAGTTTAAATGTCACTTCATTATATAAAATCTGGGACTTTACCTGAGTCCTTTATGTCGACCTGCAGTGCCTACTGTAAGGACTTAGTACATTTGCTTTAACTACAACTAACAACCTGAAAAGGATACCTAGGTAACATTGTATATGTGTGTGTATTGTCATAGGTGGTGGCCAGGTGGAAGTTAAATCTGAGAAACTGGACTTCAAGGAGAAGGTCCAATCAAAGATCGGTTCCCTGGATAACATTACCCACGTTCCCGGCGGAGGACACAAGAAGGTAAGAGTGGGGAAAAGCCATGGAAGGCCAGGATGGTGGGTCCTGGTAGCCTGTGACTAGATATTCGTACAATGTCCTAAGCCATGGGTAGGTGGCAATCATCCAAAGGATCACCATTATCCTCTGCACTCAAAGCTTTGTTGGTGGCCCAGACAACACCAGGATGAGGGAGGGGAGGGTGCCTTGTCTCTAGGTAGCCACAAAGGGGGAATGAGTATCCTTTGGATAGGTGGGTCACCCCCAGTTTAACCAACCCAATATATGCTAATCAAAACTTACCCAACATGTAAATTAGGGAAAGGTTCTTTGCTTTTCTAAAGGATTCACCCAGGGCTTCTTACTCAGCACATTTAAGAGTTTGTTTACATAGCACATTAACCACTGGACAGAGAGGCTGGGGTAGCCAGAGAAAATAGGATTCCATCAGATTCATGCTCAACTTTTTTTTTCCCCGAGCCCATGTGTTACATAAAACATGCACACCTGTATCCTAGGTCTTACTTGGGAGGAACAGTGATTTGTCAGAGTCCTGCTAACTAATGATGGGTCAGCCTGAGTGGGCATTCTCTGTAGAACTGAGGTTGGTGAAGGCCACGAGAGAAGAACCTTTAATCTCCCAGTAGCCCCAGAAATGCCTCCCCTCTCATGGTGACCAGCATGTCAGGAAGTCTGTTGACCTAGGGAGAAAGATGCTTAGAAACCTTCTAAGCCCTTTATTTCGAGTGGCTTCCGCTTTGGGCCCCTGACTCCTGTGATGAGATAGATGCATTGTTAGGTGTGGGGGAAGGGAAGGGGACAATAGCATACAGTCTTCTCTGCCCCTCTCCCAGAATGAAAATAAGTAGGCCAGAGAGTGTCAGGGTTTCTTAACCTGGGATTTAGGAACTTGCTTTTTTTAAAAATATTTTGATAACTGCATTTCAATATAATTGGTTTCTTTTTTTTAATCTCATGTGTTTGTTTTATGCATTTAAAAACATTATTTTGAGAAGAGGTCCATAGACTGCTGCCAATGGGGTCCATGGCACCAAAAAGGCTAATAGCCCCTGGCCTCATTGATATCTAAAAGGTCTTTATTCTCAACATTCTATGGTCCTATGATGCCTCTCTTCATATAGCAAAACTTCATCATTTCAAACACCACTAATTTAACTTTAATCAGAGGAATTGGGCTGTTCTCAAATTTATCTTTGTGTCCTTAATTTGTTTATCAACCTCATCCTTCTCAGACAATGCAAACAGGATCGTGGGTGGAAACGATATTTAGTTTACTTAAGAAAACCAACCCTTCTCAAACATTTTGGCAGCACCCACTTAACATCTGGTTATGATGCTGATGAAAAATGAATCCTGTCTGAGTGTCAAAAGGGTATCATGTTTTCTTCTTTGTTCTTCATCCAGAGAAATGTGAAGCCCAAACTCTGCCATCCCCATGACCAAACTGGCCTGATGGAAAGAGGCTCAAAACCAGCAGGGGCAAAAAGAGGCCTTTCACTTACAGATGCTTAAGAGCTCTGTCTATATATTCTAAAGAAGAAAACGGATCTTAGCGGTCAGTGTTCATAGATGCTCCATTTGACCGAGGAAATTTCTAGAAGTCGCAGTCATTCAACTCCTGGGTCTAGCAGGTTGTCTAGGATAGATAAGGAAGAGTTTTGGTCCATTGCATGTGACTTGCAAAATGTTGACATTCTCAGAGGTGGTCTTCTAAAGTCAGCTAACCTTTGGGTATTATAGATAAAGCTAAACATCCAGACAACTGATTGATCAAGCAAACCTGTTTGGTGTTATCATGGAACCTGCACAGTGGGTTTTCCATTGGCAGATGGTTTACTTTCCAGCAGGCCTCTAGGGAGACAGAACTCAAGCAAGAAATGAATTGCAAGGATGTTGGATTGGGAGTCAGGGAAACCAGATTCCATTCCTGACTCTACTTTGCTATATGTGCTTCAGTTTCTAGCCCTATAAAATAGAATCTGTGTGACCTTTCTGCTACTTATTTAAGAGCTAAATGGGAGAAAGAAGCTAGGAATTCTTCTAAGAGAAGGGTAGTACATTCCTAACTTGGACAAGGTATAGAGATGGGAAAACGGAATGTCATGTTTGGAGTGCAGCTAACAGGTCACTTTGACTAGAAAGAAGAGAATGTGGAGGAGAGTGATATGAACTAAAACTGGAAAAGTAGTTAGAAATCAGATTGTGGAGGGACATACCTCCAATTGATAAGGAGGCCCTAGTTGGTGAAGTTGAATGATGGGAGCCTTGGGACAAAGGGGTTATCTTTGAGTTTATAATAGCCAAGGAGGGCAATGCTGAGACTTTAAAGAAATCCGACTTCAAAAAGGAAGAAAGGGGCAGCTGGGTGGTGCAGTGGATAGAGCACCGTCCCTGAAGTCAGGGGGATCTGAGTTCAAATCCGGCCTCAGACCAAACACTTGACACTTACTAGCTGTGTGACCCTGGGCAAGTCACTTAACCCCAATTGCCTAAAAATTAAAAAAAAAATTTTTAAAAAGGGAAGGACATTTCAAAAAAAGTTCAGAGACAGGCACACTCCCATGCCGTGAAACTCTAAAAGAAAAGACCACTCAAGAAAAATGGAAGACACTCAAAAGCAAAATTTTGATGGGACAAATAGGAATGAGTCCAGAGAAGGAAGAAAGGGGAGGGGGGTCCACTGAAGAAGCTCTTTGATGAGCTTAAATTACATATACCAAATGAAAGCAGGAGGGATTTACGGGGTGGAGAGTAGAAGGTAGAGGGGAGTACAGAAATACGGCAAAGATCTGTGAGAGCCATGGCAAAAAAACAAAAGGTCAGAATGAACTGAGGCCATAGGAGGTAAAAATGCAAGGAAGACAAGAAAATCTATTCAAGCAAGAACAAGAAATGGGAAGGCATGATGGTTGGAGATGACTTAAGTTTTGTTTTGTTTTGTTTTTAAAGACAAAACAGAACTATCCAAGTCCTATTTTGTTTTCATTTTCTCCATGAAGGAAAATAGCTTGGAGAAAGGGTAGGACAAACAAGGATAAGGAGGAATTGACGTCCAAGAAAGGTAAAAAGAGTTGGTAAAAGAGGACAGGACTCAGCTTTTTAAAATAAAGTCACACCCTCAGGCCTCAATTCATTATGCCCCATCATACTGGAAGAACTTCAATAGGTTCATGTAACCATTGTCAATAATCTTTAAGAAATCATAGAAAATAAGAAGAGGTGCTAGGGTATTAGAGAAACATTTAAATGCCCTGGTTTTCAAAAATGAGCAAAAGACAAACCAGATTGTTTAACATTGATTTTTGGCAAAATTTGAGAACATATTATTAAACAGATGGTTTGTTCACCCTTAAAAAGGAAGTGATGATCCCTTAGAGCTCACGTGGGCATACTATAAGTCATACCAAACTATGCTGTTTTCATCTTTGACGGGATTATAAGCCTGGCAGATCATGGAAACCTAGACTACACATTTGACAAAGTCTGTCCATATCCTTGTGGACCAGAGGGAGAATCTCAAGGTGGCTGAAGGTATGATTAGGTCAACTTGTTATTCTTTGAACAACTGTGCTCAAAGAATGTAGATTAATGGTTGCTAACCTGCAGGACAGTTTTTACCATTGAATGGTAAAGTGATGAATGCAGACTTTGAAGAAGGAATAATCTAGAGATGACGCAGATGCCTGGGAGGGATGGTTAATAGATGAGTTAACAGAATCAAGATTCAAAAATATTTTCATAGAGTAGAACAATGAGAGAAAACCTTTTAGGAAAAAAACCAGCTTGTCCCATGTGGTTAAGACTCTAGTTAGATATTCCTGTAAGCATAGGACACAATCATCACACTATACTTGGCCAAACCACATCTAGAGTTTTGTGTTCAGTTTGGGCACCATTTTTAAGAGGGCCATTGAAAAACTGGAGCGATCCATAGAGGAGTGACAAGGATGATTGAAGAACTCAAAACTACCATCTTGAAGAATAGTTGAAGGAACCCAAGATATTGAGTTTGAAGGAGAGAAGACTTGGAGGAGATACGCTAGCTTTCTTCAAAAATTTGAAAAGTTGTCATGTGAAAGAATGAGTTAAACTTATACTTTGTACCTCCAGATATCAGAACAAGAGCTAAGAAACAGTGGGTATTACAGAAAGGTAGTTTTCTGCTTGATAGAAGGAAGCACTTCCCAACAATGAGAGTTGTCCGACGATGGAATGGGCTGCCTTAGGAGACAGTGAGTTGCCTGTTAATAGAAATATTCAGTATACAACACAGTTTTAAAAATAGGCAGGTCAGTGGTGCAGTGGATAGAGTGATGGACCTAAAGTCAGAAAGACCTGAGTTCAAATTCCATCTCAGATACTCTCTATCTGGGCAAGTCATTTATCCACTGTCTTTTTCCTCATTTCTAAAAAATATCACCTACCGGTTCCTTCTATTGGTTCTAATTCTTACTTACATCATCACTAATGTGAAAATATGTTTAACAGAAATGTATATGTATAACCTATACCAGATTGTGTGCCATCTTGGGCAGGGTGGTGGGGAGGAAGGGGGAGAAAAATTTTAAACTCAAAAGCATATGGAAGTGATTGTTGATAAATCAAAATAAATTAATTTAAAAAAAATCACCTACCTCCCAGGGTTGCTGTGAGGATAAAATGAGATGATATTTGTGAAGTGCTTTGCAAACTTCAAAGCAATATAGCATCGTTAATAATAATAATAAATTGAATAACCAATTTTCAGTATATCTGAAAGCAAAGATGCTAAATAATTTTTTGAAATTATAGATGGAATTACTATCAGAAAAGTACAATTGAGAGGCCATCAGTGACCATCAGTACATAAATTTATATTCTTGTTCCCATAAAAACTTTGTGGAAATAATCTATCCATCTATTGAAGTTATCCTTGATGAAAATATGAGATAGGAACAGTCAAGATTTGCAGATGATTTTTTTGCACTTAATAGTATTTTATTGTTTTCCAATTACATGTAAAA